CACTGAGGAGGTCATGGCAGACAGGAGAGGGGATAATGTAAAAGCAACAGAGAAATGTAAAGCTCTAAAAAATGAAAAAACATAAAAGAGCCTGGAAAAAGCTTAACTGGTAGAAAAGGAATCAAAGCAACTCTTCTAGAAAATTCTAGGGCTATGATATCAAGGAAATAGCAGTTGACAACTGCACGTTGTTGAGTGATCATTTAAAATTTACAGTGACGTTTTAACTCAGAAGACACAGCTATAGGTTTTACTGTATCCTGCTTAGCCGCCCCAGCACAGACATTCTGGATAGGCAGGGGTTCTAAATAAGAGCTGGCATTAATCCTTTACTTTGAATCAAAATTATACTTAAATGTACTTTATATCCCCCTTGTAAATTATCATAACTGCAGGTGGACAATCTTAAAAATACTGGATTTAACCGTGGAGGACTGGCAAGCCGATTAAGGCAATGAAATCTCCCCATACTGATAAAGCATCAGGCTGGGGGAGCATCTTTATTGATGCAGTGGCACAGACCTGACACAGGAGTTACTGATGGATGGAGTTACTGATGGATGCTGTTACTCCCTCCTGTGCATTGGCTCAGCTCCCTTCTCTGTGAGAGGTTTCCTGCCTCCCACTAAGGATTGGCACCTTCCTACACTATCATTTTCCCAATCTCGGCTAACCACTGCTGTTGCCATGGTTACTCCATCACACCTTACATTACTGTGCAACTTCGCCTGAGCCCTTTCCATTTAGCAATTTTTGTCTTCTCCAGTTTTTCAGGCACTGTTTTTAACCTGGCAGGGTGAAAAAAGAAATGTCCTTTTTTAGACATGGCTGTTCAGCTAGCACTCCTCCCCCCCACTGTCAGAAAATGAAAGGTCATAGTACACTGTAATAATCCTCCAGTCTCAAGTACCACCTGCATAGGGAATGATTAGAGCCTACTGCACTTTGTAAAACTTATAAGAGAATCCTTTAAAATTTAAAAGCATGAAGGATACAGAAGCCGAGGTTATAAAACATTTATCCATCAGTAGCTGCTATTTACCAGCGTGTAGGAACTGTATATTCAGTAGTTAATAACCTGCAGTCCTGATTCTTATAGCTTCTCAGTAGAATGGGAGGACAATGGGAAGAAATCAACAAATATAATGGAACACAATGTATTTATTGGAGTTGCACATTCTTTCTATACTAGGTTAGTTTATCAACTAACAGTGCATATTTAGGCAACCAGGGGAGTTCAGGGAACTTTTTTCAGATGTTATGATCTATAAGCCAAGTCTCAAGTCAAGGAATAAAGCACAATGTAGGAGATAAACTATATAAATAAATGACATACCACATAACAATAAAGTGGGTTTAGAGAAGAGTGTCTGAGCAGGGCTCAGGAATTACATTTAGGAAAGAATAAACATGGGTATGAGCGTAGAGTACCCTGTCCAGTGAGTCTGGAAATCACACTGAAAAGCTGTGGCCTTGTTCATTTGAGCCATGGGAAGGTGTTGATAGGGTACAATAATGTGACCAGACATTTTAAATGGCTTTTTCCTCTCATGAGATTCCTAACAATACTGAAAGGAGCATCTGATAGACTGACTGAAGCTTTGTCATATAAGATGGTTACAGATGTACCTCTAAATAATCTGAAAATAACAGAAGATAATGCAACAGTATAACAGTGTCATTAGCACATAAAGAGAATAGAAAAGTCGGGAAAACTCTAACTACAAAACACAAATATTAATAAAACAGAATATTTACTATAAACACAGAAATTCTAGTAGAAGTATAAACTTCTGTATGCCCAGTGGTGCAGATTGAAAGTACATGAATTTAAAATTAGTTCACATGTATTTCAATATGTACTAATGGCCACAGCTCACCTGCAAGTCAGTAAATAGTTGACTAGTCTTGTGCAGAAAGCACGATTCTGGGAAAGATAGGGTCCTCCTCTGACTCAGTTAAAAGATATCCCACATGTTCCTTCCCCATCAAGATAACTGTCACATGTCACTTTGCGTATCAGAGACATACTCATCCCACTGACGGCTTGTTCAAGAGTAATACAGAGATTTCGCCTAGTAGTTCGGTTGTGCTGTGAGTCAAAACAGCTATAAACTCAGCAATTCGATTTTGTCTTTAACATTTACTAAGGTTCCAGAAATGCTTTTGCACACATATTCTTTCAGCTGTTTGCTTAAAGAGCTAGTTTTCTCAGATGAAAACTCACCTGGTGTACACAAATGTCTGCAAAATAAACCAGTTGTGTAATCCTAGTCATTCTGCACACTAGAGTCATGTCTGACACAGGTTCCAGTAGTCTGGGTCAGCTTTTAAAAATTATGATGTAATAATAAGTACCATAAAAATCCCAGTTGACCATAATAAAGAAGGCTCTCTTGTTGCTCTCGATATATAACAACTGAGGTCAATTTTAACTCTGTTCCACACGGTAGTTCTGGCATTAGGCTAAAACATCATATTTCTTATATATTTATCCCCCTTATGATAGGGAAAGAAAAGAGTTGCACAACATCAAGAACCTTCTGCTTTGCTTCCACCTTAAAATGCACTTGTACATGACTCTCACTTCTCGGCACAAATTCAGGGGCCAGTGCAGAGGTAAGGGGAGCATAGAAATGTGACCCTCTTAGAGGACCAGGAAATAACTGAGAATAATAGTAGGTAGTACTGCATCAAATACCCAGGCAGTATGTTTCATCTATTACATATAGAAAACTGTAATTTAGGAAATGAAAATTAATTCAGAAGAAGTTTCATTAGCAAAGGATATGGATAGATTGGGAGTTGTACAACTGTTAGTTGAACCAAAAAAAAAAAGATTTTTATTCATCTCTCACACTGGAGGCTAGAGAAGGCAGGGGTAGGTACAGGGGGTTTCCAGAATAAGAATTTATATAATAAATACAAATTCATATGTAATATAAAACCTAATATTGGTTTCCAGACTGTATTCCCACCCCCATCCCGCCCACCCATCCACCTAACCATCCAGCTGGTCAAGAATCATCTCATTCAGTGACCTGTGGACTTTCTATCTTCTGATTTATAGCTTATTTCAAAACCCTTGTCCTCTATTGCTGGCTAAGTCTTCTGTTACAATTCAAGTACCAACTATATAAATTCCTTCATTTTTAATAAGACTTTTTTTCAGTGCATTCTGGAAATCTGGCGTTTTCACTGTCTTGTTAAAGCAACGGTGTCATTTTGTTTTGCTTGCAACTTTGCCCACAGCTTTGGCTATGTCTCTAGCAGGAGAGCTAATAACCACAGCTGTGTTCTCTGCAATACTTATAGCAAGACAAGGACTATCACACCGACATGCCAAAAGGAAAACGAACTTCTTCTTTGAAATATAATTTATAATGCATTTTCCACTGGATAGTAACAGCTAACCTATGCCACTTCCTAGGCTGTATATCTATATATGCTCTGCCCTCATCTGACCTGTACTCCCGGGCAAGGTGAAGTTTCTTTCAGACCTCTCCCATCCATTGCACTGCAGGCTGCACCTGCCCATCGCACTCTGAGCCATACTCATGTCTGTGTATCCCTGCACGCCAGATTCTTGCAGATGACCAATGTTCCCCAACCCTGATGCTTTTGTATATGGTAGTTACCTCTATCTCTGCTATTTTCCTTGAGGATAGACTGTTGTCTTTCTTGCTCTATCACTGCTAATATAATCAGTGAAAATCAAGAGCTCATGTAGCTCATGTAGTGCTAACAAATTGGTCTAAAGTCTCTTATGAAGTTGCAGGAAAATATGACTTTACATCACTTCTATTCCATCTGATTATTACTCTTTTTCATGAGAGTTAATGATACCAATCAAAATTTTTGTTAACTAAATTCCATATTTTAGGAGTTAGTAGGCACTGGTGACCCAACTGATGGTAACAGTTTCATGGACAGATACTGACCTTAAAACTGGTCAACTTGCAAGCATTAAATGAGGCACTGAGTGTCTGTAAAGGAAAAAAATCACACTGTCAGTCTATCGGTAGTTTTGTATTCAGTCTGACTAAACATAGTTCTAATAACATCCATGGAAAGTTACTTTGTCATTTTATCTTTTAGCAATTAAATTTCTCACATACACCAAAAGACTTCACAGTCACCCAAAGGAGTTTAGTGGCCATCCCAAAGTATTCATTTTAAACCTTGATACCACTCGGCCCTCCCTGGGATGATGAGGAACAAGTTACACCCTTAGAATGTGTCTAATCTATGAGCACAAGCTTCCAAAAAAATGGGGCCTGAATAAAAGTCCTCCCACTCTGCTCACCCCAGAGACTGTTCAAGACCAAAGCTGAAGATAATCATCTAAGCAGCAAGTGTCATTGGCTGGTTATGTTCGACACAACACATTGCCCTGTGTTAGGTTCTCAGAAAGTGTCCAACATCCCTCTGGATTCCATTCCTTACTTGGTCCTTATTTCTGGGTTGAACCATAAACCATGAATATGATGTTCAATTCTTCATCTTCCTGTTCTTCTGCTGATTGGACACAGAGAAACACTCCAGACAACTCTGCCTCGTCAAAGTATCACTCATACATAACTTAGTTTCCTCCCAACCCTAACTTGCCAGATCTATAACCTAGTTCTTACCTATCAGTTTGTTGTGAGGTCTTAATATATTCTGCAACTTTAGAGGGAGAGTTCTGCCTGCCTACGGAGCTTAAGTCCCTTGTATGGATTCTCATGACATCTCCTGGCCTTTCTGTCATAGGCACATCTAAACTGACAAATATTTTCCACTGAGTGACTCAGAACAAAGGAATAACCACCAACCAGTGTCATCATTAAACATGCTTCAGGGACCTGGGTGCGTGGCTGATGCAGTATCAGAAGATACCCACCTGCTTGTTCTATATCTTTGGAGCTCTTCTCGGGTTTCTGTATTAAACTGTATGAATAACTGCTTAAATGTTTGATAACTGTTAACTCTTGAAAATAATCACATTCTTCTACTTTTAGATGGTCCAGTAGTATACGCAGCATATTTAAAATTGGAGCACAGTGACGAGAACATTAAATTCTGGATGGCATGTGAAACCTACAAAAAGATTGCCTCACGGAGGGGCAGGATTTCCAGGGCAAAGAAGCTTTACAGCATCTACATCCAACCACAGTCCCCTAGAGAGGTAACAGTCACGGGGCATGGCAATCGGGATATCCTTAGAAAACACTAATAACTCAAGCATCACTACCTGCCAGATATAGTCTATCCCAATATCCCCTAAAAAAATGTATAAACTAAGAATTACTAATCTGCTGGGTGATGATGATCCACTACTTTAATCTCAGCACTCAGATGGCAGAAGTAGGCAGTTCTCTGTGAGTTCAAAGCCAGCCTGGTTTACAGAGTGAGTTCCAAGATAGCTGGGGCTACATAGAAAAACCTGTCTTGAAAAGACAACAACAACAACAAAATAATTAATCTTATTTTTCAGTCATAAAACCTAATTGTTAGCTAATTTAATAAACCTAATGAATTGCCCTGAGTGGTACAATCATAAAGTAGTAGCATTAGGATTCAATGGTGAGCTGTTTGTCTCACTAACTTATCTAAATTCCCATCAAAGTTAAAAAGAACCAAGGGGTCCCTGGAAGAGTTCTCTGGCAGCAAAGTCATGAAATGCCGAGAATGGGCATGAGCAGCTCCCCGGTGGTGTTGGTCTAGCATGCACCTGAGTAAACCCAAACTCAGCTGCCATCCATGTTATCAAGTTATCGTCACTGCTGTCACTTACGCTGCCTAACACCAAGACACCTGACAGAGAGACAACCAAAGACTACAATTCATGTTCAAGGCCAGGGTGGAGGATACCACAGGGGATTTCTGTCACTCAACATAACCCTATATTATTCAATTATTCCCACCAACCCTCCTGGAAACTTTTAGTCTTCTGAGATAACCACATCCCCCATCTATTTCTGCACTTCTCCTCACTTGCTTCTCGTTTTAGGACTTGTGTGGCTAGCACAGTGTTTGTGACTATTAAGGACAGTAAGGTTGAAAGCAGCCACTCGCTTCCTTTTTTTCTTTAAAAAGAGCCCTCCAGTTCATAAGCTTCCACGTTTGCAGACTACCACCAAGAAAGCATGGGCATGTCCCAGATACCAGAGGTTGCTGGCGTTCCTTGTCAATGGACTCCCCGCTTTCTTCTATTGCTCTGGAACACTTACAGCAGGTTTTTACTTTTTTTTAATTTTTTAATTTATTTATTTATTAAAGATTTCTGTCTCTTCCCCGCCACCGCCTCCCATTTCCTTCCCCCTCCCCCAATTAAGTCCCCCCCGCCTCAGCCCGAAAAGCAATCAGGGTTCCCTGTCCTGTGGGAAGTCCAAGGAACCCCCACCTCCATCCAGGTCTAGTAAGTTGAGCATCCAAACAGCCTAGGCTCCCACAAAGCCAGTGCGTGCAGTAGGATCAGAAACCCATTGCCATTGTTCTTGAGTTCTCAGTAGTCCTCATTGTCTGCTATGTTCAGAGAGTCCGGTTTTATCCCAGGCTTTTCCAGACCCGGGCCAGAAAACATATAGGCATCCTCCTAAATATTAACCTTCAGCAAGCGATGAAAGGAGACAGAGACAGAGACCCACATTGGAGCACAGGACTGAAATCTCAAGGTCCAAATCAGGAGCAGAAGGAGACAGAGCATGAGCAAGGAACTCAGGACCACGAGGGGTGCACCCACACACTGAGACAATGGGGATGTTCTACAGGTTTTTACTTTTAAAAAGAGCAAAGACACCATTTCCTAAAACTCCTTTGAGATAGCTATGAAAACTGCACCCAAAACTGTGCTGTTACTCTAAAAAAGAGGAGACTAAATTAAAGCATCCCATTGCAGGCATTCACATTTGATTGTGCTTAACCTACAATTTCGTTTTTCAGATTAACATCGACAGTTCAACAAGAGATGCTATCATCAAAAGCATTCAAGAACCCACTCAGACGTGCTTTGAAGAGGCTCAAAAGATTGTGTATATGCATATGGAAATGGATTCTTATCCCAGATTCTTAAAGTCTGAAATGTACCAAAACCTTCTAAAAACAGTTCAGTCCCAAAGCTCTTGATTACTACCCAAAAATTTAAACTGAAGAAGATACATTGTAAGTGTTAAATTTAGAAAAAAAATGTACAAAATGAGAATGAAAGCAGAAATGAAACAGAAACCAAGCCATAAATTGATTTCTAGTTCCCAAAGGAAATGCATTCCAAACATACACAGTTTATAGCCTACTTACAGAGAGGAATTAACAGAGAAGGAAAAAGAAGTTAGCTCTCATCATACAAACACTTTAACATTTTTCTATACTAGGCAACTAATGATCATTTTTTCATTAAAGAAATTTGGCAATCAGCACAGATAACTTGTTTTTAAACCATTGTTCTGTGAATCATGTCTCTATGTATTCTACAGATAAGCTTAGAATATCTTGAATTAGTATATAAACTAGTCATGGTATAATCAATTATATTTTAGCTTGAGAAGTACTGAAAAATATGTTGAGACAATTTAGCTATAAAATTTTCCCGGTAGGATGTCCATAATTGACCTCCTATGTCATCTGTACCTTCTACATGCTAAATCATTGTGATGAATCTAAGCACTTACTATGTGTGAATGATTTTTCCTTTATACTTCATATGTGCTTTGCTATTCGGATATAAAATTTTCTTTTACTTTGGGATTAATTTCCTTGCAATATGAATTTATTATAGTGTTGGAAGGCAATAAATTTAAAATTAAAAGGTTATGTGCATACTTTTTCAAAGACACCTTATTGTGCCTTACAGTACAAATCTCAAAGGGCCTAAAGTTTGCAAAAGTAAGAAAATAGAACAAAGTGCAGTTTAACTTATGTGTTTGGTGTCACCTTGCTATTATTTTAAGATGCTAACAGAGTTTAGACTCAATCCTCAGACTGGGTGTCCCTGGGGTTCAACAAACATACACAGATACAAAATTTGAACTGTTTCCTTTTATACCTAAAAAACAAAAAAATCAAGTCTTGTGTTGCTGATGGACAGAAAACATTGAAACTGACCCTTACCCTATCACAGAATCATGTTTCAATAGTCATGTTTTGTCCTGGTTTGACAGAACATCTTTAAACAGATTTTATCCCTCTGATAAAACAAAGCATCCGCTCTTCCCAGTGACTCCCTTGTTCTCACACTGCCATGGTCCTTGCTCCTTGGGCTTATGTATCTTATTTTACTAAAAATAAAAATTGCCAGCCTCCTTGGCTCACAAGGTTCTAGGCATTTTAACTACTGCTTTCCGTGTTTAAAGAGGCAGCGTGAGTAACTGCACAGCCAACCACAGTGTATTCAGTTGCTGAAAAAATAGTTAGTCACTAAACCACCTGCCTCCAGCTTTAGAGAAGCTAACAACACAGTAAGTGACTAAATGAAGAACCACGGGCAATAGAGTGGGGAAATGATACTTTGATGTCACACAAAGCCATTGAGAAAATACTAAATTTATTATATGAAACTTAAGTTTCATTTTGGATTTCCAAAGCTATTACATGAATTTATTCAGACGTGGGCATACTATAGAAAATTAGAAGAAAAAAGTCACAATCTCTCTGCTCTTCCATTTCCTTGTCTTTTGCATTTATTTTACACTTTATTTATTGTGTGCAGGCCATACACGCATGCAACAACACATGTGCAGAGGCCAGAGGACAACTAGTAGAAGGGAGTCAGTTCTACCTTGTGGGTCTCAGAATCAGTATTGGGTCATTGGGCTTAATGGCATGAACCTTTATCCATTAAGCCATCTCATGGGACCAAGTTTTCCTTCTTATGCTGTTTCTTTACTTTCCTAGTCTTCCTAAATCACCCACCCTGGCCTTCAACTCACTCTGTAACCAAGGAAATCCTTGGACTTGTAATCCTCCTGCCTCAGTCTTCAAATTAGTTTGAATCATAGGTCTGTACCACCACGGCTAGTCCTTCAGTACTTGTAAATTAATATTTTTCCACATTTCGGATGATGCTGGCCATAAGGTTTAGTACATATAGTCTTTTTGTGTTTAAGTACATTCTCTCCAGTCCTGTTTTCTCTAAGGCTTTGTCGTAAAGGCATGTTAGATTTACCTGCTCAGCCATGTTTATCTGTGCTCTGGTTACATCCTAAACGTCCTCCAACAGTAGTGAAAATATGATGCATGTGCACAATGGAATTCTATCCTGCTGCGGCAAAAATGAAAGTGTGAAATTTGTAGGTCAATGGAGAAACAAGAAAATGTTACACTGAGTGTAGTAACTCACACCCAGAAAGACAAATCCCTCTTATTTGTGGGCCCTAGCTCTGAATCTTTAGATATGAGTGTATAACCTGGAGTGACCAAAGAAACCAGGGAAATAAAAAGGGATCATAGATGCAGAGATGAGAGGGAACTCTAGAGAGATTTAGAAAGAAGGTATAATAGGACACAAGTACTGTGAAGAAGGATGAGAAAGATGGGAGGCAGAAGGGAAAGTGTGGGGGTTGGAGACAGAGAGAGAGAGAGAGAGATAAGGAGAGATGATAAAGAACAGCAAGGATAACTGAAAAAACACAGGGAAACCTATTGTCTTATGTTTACTTACACACATATATAATAATATATAAGTATGCATGTATACATACATAAATAATTTAAATGAAGTTATGTCACTTAGGGTGAGAATGTTCTTCCGAAGAACTATAAGTTGTCTACCTAAAACCCCAGTGCCAGACATAGCAAATCTCCTTTGAGTGATTAGTCTTGAGTATCCAAGAGAGTCCCAAAACAGTATAGACTATTGCCATTGCCCCTTGTTGTTTTACAGCACTTGAAGGTAAGATCTTATCACTAAAGACACCAAATGCTTCAGACACAGACTTGGAGGAACCAAGCTGTGAGAAGTAGCTCTCATAGCATGTAAATTTGCAATACAAACTGTCAAGGGAGAAAAGAAATGAGCAGTCCTACAAACCTCAGCAATGACCAGCATGGTAAGACACACTCAAGAGGGCGGGCACTTATATCTTGGTAATAAGCAGGAATCATCTAATTAGAAGAGCTTCCTAAATAGGAAGAAATCCATGCCTGGTACTTTAAACCTAGTCAAGTCTCTATGGCTGGTGAGTTCATGGACCCTAGCACATACTACTGCCACATTCCTAAACCAGTATAATTCCCAACTGCACCCTCAATACTTATTCCCAAATCTACGGGTGCGTGTAGCTCTCATTCCTTTCCATGCAGCTTCTTTTTGCAGCAGATAGAGACTGTCACAGAAATCCACAACTCTTCAAAACACAGAGAACCACTGGTTTTGAGGTATTCCTCCCCAAATGATACATCTACACTACACCACCACAGCTAAGCCCCAGAGAACATTGCAAAAGAGGGGCAGTAATACTGTAAGAACCAGAAGACCAGGACATTTGCCACAAGATAGTGCCTTCCATATGTGACGTGAAATCTTCACAGCATGGTCACCTAAACAAGACCTATAGAGGGACAACACCAGTTGATATTCCAACATGTATGGTAACCCCATCCCTAAGTGAAGAGTTGCAGGCAATTAGAAGCTGCTAAAAGATGAGGGATCAGTTCTTTGAGGGGACTAGGGACTAGTCTCTTGATGGGTTATCCAATCCCAAACTGTCAACCTGAAGCTTATATACATCTGAAGAACACTAAATGAATACAACTGGTTGTACTCATGTGTGTGTGGGGGGGGGGTGAATACATAAATGTGACAATACATATTTGAATGAAGGAATGGAACAACTGAATCAGTATCTATTTATTAACCTGATGTCCTTTAACCTTTAGCTTCACTATAGTTCAATGTCCTCATCTACAAAATAAAGTGATAACAATCTCATGATTAAATAAATCAAATGATAGACATGTTTTATTATATCCTATTGCAAATTTGCTCATCATTTTCTTATATATTACTATCTTGGACTCATTTTAAGGAGTAATTTATCCAATATTGAAGTTCTCATGAGGAAGTAGATGATTAACTATTTACTTTGCATTTAACAATGATTCATAGAAACCTTTTGAAAAACTTAAGAATAGAAATTGGTGGCACATGCCTTTAATCCCAGCACTTGGGAGGCAGAGGCAGGTGAGTCTCTGTGAGCCAAGAGCTAGTTCGAGGACAGATACCAAAGTGGCTCACAACCTTCTATAGCTCTAGTTCCAGTAAATCTGATGCCCTCTTCTGACTTCTGAAGCCACTGGGTGTGCACATGGTACACCAATGCATGGAGGCAAAACATTCACACATATTAAAAAGCATATAAAAATTTTAAATCATAAGGAGTGATCAAGAAAGACACATAACACCTCTGGCTGCTACATGCACACGTATGCTTGCACACCTGCATACATGTGTGTGTTGTATGTGTGCATATGCATGTGGACATATAAAAACACCCCCGTATACAAACACAAAATAATTCATTACTTCTAAATACAGATTCAATCTTTTTAGTAAGAAAATAGTGATAAAGAAATGTCTCTGAATCCAAGCATCTTGGAACATTTTTCTACTTATAATTCATCAGGCATGCAACAATTTTATCATCTACAAGGAACTTTCTACCATTTTTAGAACAATGACTATAGAAAAAGACATATGCAAGGCTTTCTTCAAAGGCATGAAAGATTGTGATTTAGAGAAAATAGTAAGTCCTACCGCCTAAAAATATCTTTCACATATCTGGGACCTGAAATTTCCACCACTCATCATAGATGAAAAACAGCATCTAATCTCACAGTAGGAGCAAGAGGAATGAATCACTAATGCTAACACATTAGCTGTTGCCTCACAGAAAACAAAACTTTGAAAAATAAAATGCAGAAATATAGTATAGTATAGGAAAATAGCTAGACTCAGGGAACAAAGACATTAGTTAGGGGCACTGTGGGCTTGAAAACAAGTGAGGGGGGAAACAAAGTACTTTAGTTATAAAAGCTGCCCAATGTTGTTAATAGAAAATTTAAATGAAGAAATAAACTTCATGAGAATTATATATCTTAGTAGAAAAAAAATAAAATGTCCCAATATAAAGAAAAAGGTAAATATGAAATTATTGCATAAATGACATTTATAGAGACACTGTTTAAAGAAAAACTGACTTTAAAAGAACCAAGAAACCATACAGATAGCCATTAATGAAAGTACATTTTCTGCTCTGGAGGACATGCGCAATGATAGCAAAAGGGAATAGCAGTGACAGTCAAGCAAACGTGGGCAAAGGCTCACGTGGAAACCCAGCAGAAGCACCTTCCTCTACACAGTGGAATCTGTAAAGAACAGGAGATATGCTGTTGGAGAGGGCTTTGAAGAATAATTAGGAGATCTCTTTGGAAAGAGGGAGAGGCTGTGGGCACTGGCACAAGAGCAGGAGACAGGAGCACATACGACTAGAAGGTGGTGGAAGTTCTGCTATGAGATTGCTCCACGTCCACGGCCTCACTCCAAAACCAAGTAGCTATGCACAATTCAGAAAACTGCTTAATCTCATGGAATTTCATTTTATTTTCATCTATGAAATAATACAATTAATTTACTGATATAGGTTTCTATATTCGGAAAGGGCACAAAAAGCAGCCATCTCAGTGACCTAAAAAGATCAAATGAAAGGAAATCTGGTGAGGACTTGCAAACAAGGAAAAAAAGAACTAAGTCTAAGAGAGAAATTGTGAACAGATCAGATTTTTAACAGGAGGGAGAGATCACAGATGATCCGGTTTCAAAATCAACCAGCTTGATAAACTCAAGTATCATATATGAGAAAATGAGCTGAGCAGGATTTGGAGAACCTGCTACGACAATGA